ACAAAAAAAAAAAAAAAAAAAAACTTAAAGGACCTTTTAGCAAAATGGCAAAACTTAGATAAATAAAGGGCCAAAGAATTGCTAAAGACCAAATTCAAATCATAGGGAATACATTAAGCTCAAATAGAAAGATTACTGCCAAAATGTCCAAAATGCCATCTTGAGTCACGTTCCAACCAACACACGTGAAGTGTCTAGCTCAACTAAACCGTCCCAAAAGAAAGAAATAAAATCTTAAACATTTATATAAATAACGTAAATCAAATTTTAATTTCACTATCTAAACTTAAAAGTTAAGCATATATTATTCAATTATAAGCTAGTATATATTGTTCGTTTTGGTCCACTATGTATCACCGTCTGCCTCACGATTATGATATGTGTCTATTAGAGAGATATCACCACACCTTTATTAAACAATGTTTCATTCCCCTCTCCAATCGATGTGGTATCTCACAATCTATTCTTTTGGGAATCCAACGTCTTCGCTGACACACCGCTCAGTATCTAACATTAATACCATTTGTAAAACCTCAAGTCTACCGCCGGTAGATGTAGCATATTTTTTTTTTTTATCTGTGGGCCTGCAAAATCGGTGGGGTCTTTTCAGTAAATTGACAATAAAAGAGCACATATTCCATTTGCTGCATACATTTCATTCTTCTAGGCTGCTTCCACCTTTATAATATATTTTAAATTCATCCATAAATCTACGTACTTCATTTTTAATTTAAAATTAATTCAATAATAATTTTCACAATTACATTTGAATTTTAAAAAGTTTTATTAATATTTTAAATTTTTAAATTTTATATTTTAAAAATACTCGTAAATTTTCTAAAATAAGGTTAAAAATTTTAGAGATAATTTATGAGTCGAGAGAACGTTAATTTTCTTTTAAAAAAAAAAAACCAAAAGAAAAACGACAAATGTAAAATAGCAATTTTCGGTGATCATGCAGAAAATATTCTGACGTGGGACCCAGTAGTTAAGACATCATACAAGATAATTGTAAGCCAAGTAAAATTACTAAAATACCCTCCACCCCGAAACAGCCCTATAAATAGATGACCGGATCTTCAACTCCCTCACTCCACTTACCGTTCTTTCTTCCGTGCTTCGATTTATTTGTCTGTTTTTATTTTATTTTAATTTTTCATTTTTGAAGTTCTATTTCTAAGATCAGGCAATTATGTTGGGAATATTTAGCAGTTCGATCATGTCGCCGCCGGACGAGCTGGTGGCCGCCGGCTGCCGGACTCCATCGCCGAAGATTTCTTCGACGGCGCTGGCGAAGCGGTTCGTGGATACCAACGCCGCCGCCATCTCTGTTCAGATCGGCGACCATGTTCATCTCGCCTTCACTCACCACAACGAATCTCCTCTGCGCCCCAGGTACCGGAGATTCTCCGTTAAAACGCCGTCGTACGGTGGCGCTCGGAATTAAACCCTTTTTAGTAAGCAATACGAATATGAACCAAGAAAAACGTAAATTATAAGTTTTAAGTTTTTTGACCTTTTTAATTAATTAATTAATTAATTAATTTCGTGTCTAAATAATATAGATGTTATAATAACGTAAATTATAATAACGTTTTACCCTCTTTTAAATGTTTTAAAATTACTTAAAAATTTATTAAGCTAAATTTTTATCATAAAAATATTTTTGAAATGCTAATGATATTGTAGGGGTACCGTTGTCATTTCACACTTTGTAGCAAGCCGTCATCTCGAGAATTCTAGTTAAGGGTATTTTAGTAGTCTCTAAAAACAAAAAGCGTTGTTTTTTTTTTAAAAATTTTAAAAATAATAAATTTTCTAAATGCGTGCTTCTAATTTTAATCTCTAAAACTTTTAAAATTTATACTACATTTAAGATTAATAGGAATATTTTCCAATTTTAAATTAAAATTGAGATGCCTGTTCAACAAAATTGAAAAACTAAATAAAAAGGCTTTTTAATATTATTTTTTAATTTTCGTAAATGAAAATTTGAGTACTGAAGAACTGAAAGGCCATGGCAGATCGTTTGAAGTGAAGGAGGAGATCTTCTGCTTGTTCGAAGGAGCCCTAGACAATTTGGGAAGCTTAAGGAACCAATACGGTCTTCCTAAATCCACCAATGAAGGTCTCTTAATCATAGAAGCTTACAAAGCTCTCCGTGATCGAGCTCCATATCCGGCCAACCATGTCGTCAGCCATCTTAGCGGCAGTTTCGCTTTCGTCCTCTTCGACAATTCCACCTCCACTCTCTTTGTCGCCTCTGTAACTCAAATTTCAACTTCTAGTCTTCAAAATCGATGAACAGAGCATCCATTTCTGATTTCGCTTTCGATTGATTTTGGATTTTGCAGGATCAGTTCGGGAAAGTGCCTTTGTTTTGGGGAATCACTGCCGATGGATACATTGCGTTCGCCGATGATGCAGGTCTCCTCAAAAGCGCTTGTGGAAAATCCCTCGCTTCGTTTCCTCAAGGTATTTTGAAATTTTAGGGCTCGATTTTGTTAGATTTTAAAATTAGGGCAAATGGAGTTATGTTGGATTGTTTATTTCGATTTCAGGCTGTTTCTTCTCCACGGCGGAGGGTGAATTGAGATGCTATGAGAATCCGAAGAACAAGATTACTGCTGAGCCTGCTCCTGAGGAAGAGATCTGGGGTGCGAAATTCAAGGTATGTGATTATCAAGCTCTTTTTTCAAATCTGGATTTAGGAGAATGCATACAAAGTTAGGATTGGAGTTCACTGAAAGTCTGAAATCATCATTGATTCACTGAATTTCAACCTTTTTCCTGTGAGTGATGGTCACTGTTGAAGAGTCAAAGATTATGATCTTATCTCAATGGAACTGGAAAGTAGTTTAGCCACAAAACAAAGAATTCACTTTCTTTTAAACTGGATATCATATTCATAAGGTAGTGGTGACTGGTGAGCCCCTCCCTTCCTTTTCAACGACTATAAAAAGAATTTCAAGGATATACTTTTCAATGAGACATTCACTTTCTGTGTCCCCACCCATTGAACAATCCTTCCTTCAGCTTGGATTTGGTAATGACAAAACTATATCTAAACATAGTTTAAAGCTTTCTTCCCTGTTCTATCTGGATCAATATGATGTTCTTCTGAACTTTGGATGAAAATTTGATATATCAATGGAAGCTTGAACAAGTTTAGTACTAGGTCACATGGGAAACCTCATAGTCACATATTATGTTCATTTACCCAATCAATAAAGGCTTGCTTGAACATAGTAGGTTAAATGTTGTGTATTCAAATCTATTTGGGTCTTCATTAATCATTTTACAAGAAATTAATGACGGGCAATAAGAGAAGTAAAGGGTTTAGAGGAAATGGGGTTCAAACCATTGTACCGTGTGGGTACTCACCAAATGTAACGAGGTTAGGTAGTTGCAACAGCCCAAGTACACCGCTAGCAGATTTTGTCCGTTTTAGCTTGTTACATATCACCATCAGCCTCACGGGTTTAAAACGCGTTTATTAGGGAGAGGTTTCCACACCCTTACGAGGAGTGCTTCGATCTCCTCTCCAACGGATGTGGGATCTCGCGTTTATTAAGGAGGGGTTTCCACACCCTTATAAGAAACGCTTCGTTGTCCGGTGAGCCCAACCAGCGTTAGAAAAAGAAGCCGAGAGAGTCGAAAAAGGGTTAAAATAGGATGTAAACTGAAAGCATTTAAGTTAATATTTGCTCATAAAGGAATCCTTATGGCTTATCTTTGATGTTTGAGCTTTCAGGTGGAGGGGCCAAAGGCTGCAGCGGCCACTGGGTTGGGTTATCTCAATTTCCCAATGGAGATTTCATAAATCATTTTGGAGGAAGGTGAGGGTTCTTAATTGTAGTGAATGAGTCTTCAATGTACATACAGCCACCAACTGTTCTGCTTCTGCTTTTGTTTAATCAAAGTGGTGTCTTCAATACGAGTCCTCAAATCATTAGGAATCATGAAATTTGGTCCCATTATTTCAATTCTGAACAGAGAAACCTCTGTAATCTCATTTCAGTGGGCCTCATATGGGCTTCCTCATCTTGGTCCAGCCCAACAACATGTGGGCCTAAAACATTAAATAACTTGGATTTTTAATGTAATTAATAAATATGTGGGACCCGCCTTAGCTTTAAATTCAAATAAGGCATGGATTCCGCCATTGATGCGAGACGCGATGTGTACGCCATGCAGTTTTCACACGCCGACCCCAAAATATTCTTACATCTCATTTATTTATAATTATCATCTTTTTAAATATTAATATTTATTACCCTTCATTGTTTTATCTTTTCAAAATATTATTATTATTTAATCATTTTAATAAAAACTAACAATTTAATTTAATAAATTCTTAGCATTGACATATATATATATATATATATATATATATAATAAGTTCATGCATCTTCCATAATAGTTAAATATTTTTTAAAGATTAATGAAATAGACGCAAATAAATAAATATATATTTAATTTGTTATAGAGTTAGGAAGAAACACGCGAAACAGAGATCCGAAATAAATGGTTTGTGGGACTCCATTTGGGTACGTGTCAGAATTGTGGAATTCTATTGGATAATTGGAAACGATGATCTGGCGTGATTATTTGGCAACGTGCATTAAATTTAATAATAACATGTATAAAAATAAAGCCTAAAGTTTGGCATTGATTTACGTGTATGATTTTAATTGCAATTTAATTCTTCCTTCTTTCATTTTCATATTGATGTACATTTATTGCTTATTGAAATTATATATATATACATATATCTTAACCATTTATTATTCTCCAATGTTTAAGACAATAATTATGAAATATATTTTTTAAATTTATGTCTAATAATTATTATAGAATTGTCCTACTATAATGACAGACCTTTTAATCAAAACCTATTATTTAAATCAAAGTATTATTCAGTAATTTTTTTTTATTAAATTTTGTTAAATTTTCATCGAAAGTTTTATTTCACAAGAAAATAAAAGATATCGAGCCCCTATTTAGCTGACATCGGACAATTTTGTCCCTACAAATATCAGAATAATACTTTGATTTAAATAATATGTTTGATTAAAAGGTCTATTAGACAGATTGTGATGTGTCGAAGATTTAATTAATAATATTGATTACCATAGATCTTATGAAATATATATTTATATATTATAGTTTTAATTAATCGATGCCTTATTGTTACGTCAAGAATATGACACCTTTTTTAATTTGGGTGAATCGTTATTATTATTTTTTAATTTTATTTTCTCATTTTTTAATCCTCACCTTTTTTAAAAAATTCACATTTATTTACTCATTAAATTATTAATTTAATTAAACATTTTTAATATATCGAAAAATAAATATTTTGATCTAATTTCATGTACCAAATGAATGTACATATTTTCAAATATGTTAATTAATTAACGGTTTAATTAATATCATATATTTTTTATGACAAATTTTGACTTTTTTTTTTCGTTTAAATTATTATATAGAGTGACGGCAATTATTTATTAATGCGTTTTTCTATATTAAAAAATATTCCCAAATTATATTTTAATTTTAAAATAAAAAAACTAGTTGAATTTCACAATTTTTTTTTTAAATTTAAGGAAAAAAAACATTAAAAAAGTCATTGAGTTATGACTTTTTATTTTTCAGAACAATTATTAAATTATGACTTTTTTTTAATAAATAAAATTATTAAATAATGACTTGAAAAAAGGTTTTAATACATTTTATAAAGTGGACAATATTTGTTTTCTATTTATTTAAATATTCTTTTTCCATTTTCTACTTTTTATTACAACAATAAAAAGGAAGGTATTTATTACCAATATAAAATTTAAATTATTAAAAAGTATTTTTACCAATATTTTTAATAATAAATAAATAAATTTAGTAATGTACAATTTAAAATATTTTCCAATAAAAATAAATGAATTTACCAAATATAATATATTTTTTCCATAATTAAAATAAATATGGGCTTAGATTCGTCGCCGTTGGTTGTTCACGGCGCGTTGATGCATCTGGTTTTGATCTTATTTTATTTAAAAAAAAAACAACAAAAGGAAAAGCAAAATAACGGCAATATGATAAAACGGCTTTACAGCCAAAGCAGTGTTCGAAATCCCGTTTACGGTAAGAACATCCCCCACGCGCCTTTCAAATCGTGCACTACACAAACCTAAATTAATGACAATTAATTTTTTTATCTACCTACCATCCATACATTCCGGATTAGGTAATTTGTTTTAATAGGTAAAATATTTATTACTCTAAAATTTAGTTAATTTATTTTTTAAAAATTAACATAAAATTAAATATAATTACAAGTTTATAAGAACTAAAATACTTATTTTTTAATTGAATATTTTTAAAATATATTTATTTATAATTTTAAAATTTTAATTTTATGTTTAATAATTAGATTTTTTTTTAAGATATAGATAAAAATTTATATGTTTAAGGACTAAATAGTAATTTCACGCACCGGAAGTGGAAGTGATGGTGGACTTAGTGTTCCACCTCCGGCTATCCGTTACCCACGAGTTTGCCAATCAAACCCTTTTCTCTCTCTTCCTCACTTTCTCTCTCCTCTGTTTCTCTCTCTTCCTCTGTTTCTCTCTCTTCCCATTTAACAAATTACAGTAAGCAACCGCACCACTTTCTAATCGCAACCCACTTTCTTCTCCATTTTGAAGTTGTTGTTCTTAATCATCTTCTTCGTTGATTATAATCTGTTCATAAAGTGAAACCCAAAAAGAAGTAAAGTGGGGAAGAAGATTTTGGTTGTTTATTCTTCCGCCATGAATGCTTCCTTGCTTCCTTAACACCCATATCTCTCTTTCCCCTCTTTTTTCTTTTCGAATCCTTCCATTCATTACTTCTCTAAACTGACCTACCAAGCAAAACAACTTCGATTTCATGATTATTCCCTCTCTGTTTACCCTTCAATGTCTAATAACCCTCCTCTGATTCTTCTTGAAGCCATGGCGTTCACTGAAGTCTGCAATAAACTGAAGCGATTGAGGCTGTTAGAGCCATCGATTGCGGTTTTGGGCTTCTTTTTTGTATCGGTTTGTGTGATTTGTGGATTCTTTTACTTGGATTTTAGAACTGCTTCGAAAGGGTTTGTGTTTGCGCTTCGATCAGAGAGATTTAATTGGTTGAGAAATGAAAATTTTAGTCAGATTCGCAAGGTTGAGTTTCTTTCTGAAGAGGGAAATGGATGTGATGTGTTTGATGGAGATTGGGTTTGGGATGATTCTTATCCTTTGTACGAGTCTATCAACTGCCCATTTGTGGATCAAGGCTTTCGCTGCTCTGAAAATGGCCGCCCTGATTTGTTATACACTAAATGGAGATGGCAACCTAAGCTTTGTAACTTGCCCAGGTTCATTTTCTTCTCTGTTCTTCATGTTCTTTGTTAGATTAATCTGATTGTGGCGGATTTCTTGGTTTGAATTGTGTTGATGATTATTACGAGGTCTGGATTCTGCTTAGTTTGAATTTCTTGTTTTATGTTCTTCACTCGTTTGTGATGTTTGTCATTTTGTTCTTTCTGTTCATTGATTGATTTCGCCCGTGAATCGTTGGATGGTTGTGAGATAGGGACCTCTCTGTGTAGTATAGATGAGCTTCTGTTTATGTAGTAATCATTGAAATTGTTGCGTTTCTTGTAATTATCAATGGAATTTTGTTACTTAATTATTGTTCTAGTTAGTTTGCTTATGAAAACGATGTTTTGTTGTGTTTCTGCTCGGAGGAGATTTTCACGCCCTTGTAAAGAATGAAAATGTTTTGTTTTCCTCTCCAACCGATGTGGGATCTCAAAATCCACCCCTTTTCGGGTCTGACGTCCTCGTTGGCACTTGCTTTCCTCTCGAATTGATGTCGTCTCTCTCTCCAATCGATGTAAGATCTCACAATCTCCACCCCTTTCGGGCCCAGCGTTCTTGTTGTCACTTGTTCCCCTCTCCAATCGATGTGGGATCTCACAATCCACCTCCCTTCGGGCTTAGCGTTCTTGCTGTCACTTGTTCCCCTCTCCAATCGATGTGGGATCTCACAACCCAACCCCCTTCGGGCCTAGCGTTCTTGCTGTCACTTGTTTCCCTCCCCATTCGATATGGGATCTCACAATCCACCCCCCCTTCGGGCCCAGCGTTCTTGCGGTCACTTGTTCCCCTCTCCAATCGATGTGGGATCTCACAATCCATCCCCTCAGGGTCCAGCGTCCTCGTTAACACTCGTTCCTCTCTCCAATCGATTTAGGATCTTACAAATCCACCATCTTCAAGGCTTAGCGTCCTCGTTGGTATCCAATCGATGTGGGATCTCACAATCCACCCCACCTCCATGTCCAGCGTCCTCATTAGCACTCGTTCCTATCTCCAATCGATGTGGGATCTCACAAATCCACCCTCTTCAGGGCTTAGCATCCTCACTGTCACTTGCTTCCTCGTTGGTCTCCAATCGATGTGGGGTCTCACAATCCACCCCCCATCCGGGGACCAACGTTCTCATTAGCACTCGTTCCTCTCTCCCATCGATGTGGGATCTCACAATCCACCCCCTTTCGGGATCCAGCGTTCTCGCTAGCACACCACCTTGTGTATGACTTTAATACCATTAGTAACAGCCCAAGCCCACGACTAGCATATATTGTTCTCTTTGGGCTTTCCCTTTCGGACTTCTCTTCAAGGTTTTTATAATGCGTCTACTAGGGAGAGAGGTTTCCACACCTTTATAAAGAATGCTTCCTTCTCCTCTCCAACCGACATAGTCATAGAATTTTTGCAAAACCACTTCTAAACTTCTTAAACTTAGGAATTTGTGACACCAGTCTTTTGGGGTTGAACTGTCATTATTCTTCTAGTTTGTGTGACTGTGAAGCTGCTACTTACTGTTCATAAGTTTGACATTGAATGATCAACTTTTGATGGGTGTTTTTCGAATCATCTCTTAAACATATTTGGATTAACGTTCATCAGATTCAACGCGACACTCATGCTAGAGAAACTACGAAACAAACGTGTGGTGTTCGTCGGCGACTCGATCGGACGAAACCAATGGGAATCTCTTCTATGTATGCTATCATCTGTAGTTCCAAACAAAGAGTCCATATATGAAGTGAATGGCAGCCCCATTACAAAGCACAAGGGATTCTTAGTGTTCAAATTCAAGGATTTCAACAGCACTGTTGAGTACTACAGAGCTCCCTTTCTCATCCTGCAGAGCCGGCCTCCTTCTGGGGCCTCTCAAGCCATCAAGACTACCCTTAAGCTAGATCAAATGGATTGGTCCTCAGCCAAGTGGAAAAATGCTGATGTTTTGGTGTTTAACACAGGGCATTGGTGGAACTATGAGAAGACCATAAGAGGGTAACGTTTTAAACCTTTTATGAGTTCCATTTCCAAGCTTCCCTCAATGAATGATTTGTGTTCTTGTATGATATGAACAGAGGCTGTTACTTCCAAGAAGGAAATGAGGTAAAGATTGAAATGAAGATCGATGACGCGTATCAGCGGTCGCTCGAGACCGTGATGAACTGGATCAACAACGAACTAGACTCGAAAAAAACAAAGGTTTTCTTTCGAATGTTCGCCCCGGTTCATTTTCGGTAAGTTTTTGGAGATTTATGTTTCGTTTTTCTGAGTTTTTTCGGAGTTGTGTGTGTATAATGAGATTTGCGAATCCTGCAGAGGTGGAAATTGGAGGAATGGTGGGAATTGTCACTTGGAAGCTCTACCTGAGCTCGGTTCTTCGCTCGTTCCTCCTGAAACATGGTCACATTTCAGGCTAGCTAATGCTATCCTTTCAAGTTACCAGACCGTGCAAAACACAACGAAATTAGAGATACTAAATGTAACTCGAATGACTGCTCGGAGAAAGGATGGGCATTCGTCACTTTACTACCTCAGTCGTGACGTCGGTCCTGCGCCTCTTCATCGACAGGATTGTAGTCATTGGTGTTTGCCTGGGGTTCCTGATGTGTGGAATGAACTTCTTTATGCACTGTTCTTGAAGCACGAATGGCACTCTTGATGCCAAACAGGTATCTGTAACTTATGGACATATCGAGTCGGTCGGTCGGTCGGGCGTCTTCCTGCAAGAACCGTTTTGAATTTACGAAGAACGTCGATGATTACTGAAGCTTTACAGAGAAGTGATTGAATCAGCTTACAGAAATGCAACCAGAAGCCAAGTCAACATTCTTCATTAGTTTTGGAAGCAGCCAAAATTTTTGGACAGCCAGGGGCATACTTGGAATAAACAGCATACTTTTTCCTTTTTTTTGTACATATTTAGTGCTAAATTTGTAACATTACAATGTAAAAGGTCTTTCCAAGGTAATTTAATGGCTTCTATTCAAACTTTCCTAGGTGACCCGTGATGGTCGGGAATTGGTGAAAGGTAGTTCGATCTGTAGAGGGGACTCCCATTGATCGTATGACTTAAAGGGAACATGTCACATTAGAGGTGAACGAGTAAAGATGTGAGATCCCATATCGATTGGAGAGACAAATGAAACACTAGATAAGTCCAAAAGGGTAAGCCCAAAACGACTTGGGCTATTACAAATGATATTAAAGCCAAACACTAGGTGGTGTGCCGACGAGGATGCTGGCCCTTAATCAATAGCCGAGCATAAGACAATAAGCATCTATGTTGCTATTCCTTGAGCATTTTCTAAGAGAGATCATACCCGAGTCTTGCATCTTTGATAACGTTCTTAATTCTTGTTAGGTCGATCGTACGAATAAACTAAAAAATATATTATTTGTGGAGAGAATTTTTTTGAAAATTTAAAAAAAAAAAAAAAAGGATTCTCCTCAAGAACATGTGGATCTCTCTCAGCCAATTGGGAAGCAGAGATAGGGCTTTGGATTAGATAATTTGCAGTTAAAATTATGTCTTTTTCTTCTGTCTTTTCCAGATGGATAATATATTAAATTTCACTTTCAACCTATTTAAATCCTACTTCAAACTTGAAATGAAGCAAACCAACCACTCTTTTTCTTAGTTCCCTTTTCACTTTTTGCTTTGTTTTCGAGGATTCGAGATGGAAACCGAAGTCAACGATGATGATTTGTTGTTTGCCGAGCTCACGAGGCGGATTTCGCTTCTCATTATGGACGACGACGAGCTTCCGAGCGTTCATACGGTTCGTTTCATCTCCCTGTAAACAATCAGTCTTATGTTTGTTTAATGTTTAAAATGCTTCTAGGGTTAATATGGTAATTGAACGACTTGTTACTTTGAAGTTTTTTTAGGTAAGTATGGTATCTATAGGCTCGATTTTCCGTGTTTAGTCGGGATATAAAGTACACAGCTCAAATACCTTAAAAAAAATTTAGGGACTAAACTTGTCATTAAACATATTTTAAGTTTTTGCAGGATTTGAGTCGGACAATACACCGAGTTCGACCTGGGCAATTGCCATTAATGGTGGATTACGAGAATGGCTTTGTAAGGGAGAGCAAAGGTACTGGAGTTTTCATCCCGACACGGTTGCCATCACCTAAGAGGAAGCATAGAAATGTCGTGGGCTACAGAATCAAGTCGGAAAATAAGAGGCTCAATTCTCAACCGTCCTCGACCTATTATTTTAAGCCCAAAAAGAGTTGAGCTTAGACATTTTCTTATCCCTTCTAAATATTTCTAAGTTTTATTTGTGTATTAACATTTAATTATTTATTATATTAGTTCATGTGAGATTGTGATATGTGGGTTATGTCACTTATGAAATAAAGTTATGCATAATTTTGATTATGTTTTAATATATAAATATAAATAAATAAATAAATATATTTGGGCTTCCACATGGCCCAATTATTGTTGGGCCTAATATGTAGGTCAATGATCCACCAATTAAAGCCCAATTCAGTCTTGCCCATGCCGAAACTAAAGCCCATACCCAAAATCGCGTGTTCTTCAAGCCCAGGTGTAAATTTAGAGTTCGATGAGAGATTCTTCTTCATAAGCCACTGTGCCTAATCGCCCATTTCCTTCCAATTTTCCGGCGAAATCTGTCTATCATCAACTAATTCACGGCCACCAAGTGGTATTCTTCAATTTGATAGTCGAGGATCTTGTATCAGCTAGGCTTATCTCCATGGCTTCCGCGATTCTGAAGCGTGTCAACGCCTCCGCAATGAGCTCGCTGGTTGAATCTATGCGAATCCGAGCTTCATCACGAGCCTTTGCGGCGGTGGTGGTCGGGACTGATATCGTCTCCGCCGCACCGGATGTTGCTCTCCAGAAGGCTCGGAGCTGGGACGAAGGTGTCTCCTCCAAGTTCTCAACGACTCCGCTTAAAGACATTTTCAAGGTCCGTTCTTAGATTGTTCGTGTATTTCTAACTCGCATTTTCTTTTGAGGTTAATTGTTTTAGTTTTTGAAGTATCCTTGTGCATTTTAGATAAAACAAAAATGTTGATTGTTTATGAAATTGTGGGCTTTCAAGGTCAGATTTGAGCTTAATGTTTATGTTTGACGCTTTATATGGAATGATAATTTGAGTGTATTCAGTCTTTATCTTATTAATCCATTGGTCATGGTATTTCAGGGCAAGAAGGTCGTCATCTTTGGGCTTCCTGTAAGTCCATCTATTCAGTATTTTACAGTTGTATACATGCTATGTAAATGATGAATTCTGTACGAAATAGTTGCCGACGTATAAGTCTTCATCTCGTTTTCAACGCGGTGTGCTTCTTTGATTGGAACAAGAGCTTTTATATGCGCACTTTCATGATCAATACTTTCATCCATCGGTAAAATGAAGATTTATTTTAGGGATCAGAAACATGCTTCGTGGTTCATCATTCATTTCTGACCTCTAAAGGATTGATTGGATATTGAGAAAAAATTTGTTAGATTTGTACAGAGAATATATGAACTTTATTTTGTACTGGTAGCTGATAAATATTTGATATATAAAACCTTATGATTCAATGAATTGTTAGCTTTATGCGATTGTGGCAGTAAATAAAGAGATTTGAACTCTGGTGAGTTCTTTATTCCAAACTAGTTTTCATCAGTTGGATCCTGTGAGATCCCACATCGATTGGAGTGGGAAATGAAGCAATCCTTATAAGAGTGTGGAAACCTTATGATTCAATGAATTGTTAGCTTTATGCGATTGTGGCAGTAAATAAAGAGATTTGAACTCTGGTGAGTTCTTTATTCCAAACTAGTTTTCATCAGTTGGATCCTGTGAGATCCCACATCGATTGGAGTGGGAAATGAAACAATCCTTATAAGAGTGTGGAAACCTCTCCCTAATAGACGCATTTTAAAATCTTGAGAGGAAATCCGGAAGGAAAAATCCAAAGAGGACTAATATCTGCTAGTAGTGGGTTTGGACTGTTACAAATGGTATCAGGGCCAGTCACTTACTTAGGCCTAGACCCTCTCCATAGTATACACGTATTAAAACTTTGAGGGGAGGCTCGAAAGAAAAAGTCCAAAAAGGACAATATTTGCTAGTGGTGGGCTTGGACTATTACAGATCAACTCTATGGGACTTGATGTGATAGATATTAGATTATATAAGATCGAGAACAACACTGCTCTTATTTCTTCCCTTGGGAAGGAGTGAATAATTGAGAAAATCAAGCACAACCTCTTCTTTTGATCTTGAAAATTAGAAAATGAAAAGAAGCTGCTACTTATCATCAAACAACATTTAGCATTTAACATAATATTCAATGTTTTTATCCTGTTTAAGTGGGTAATCATGGCATTTTGTTGAAGCTTGCTTGTACATTGTAAGTCATAAATATTCAATCGTTGATGAATGTGGAGTAGATATAAAATTGCTCTTTCTCTGTGTTTTCCAGTGTTAAATTCGTTTATACTATGATGCACATTTCAAAGTTGCATTTCCAATTTCCAGGGTGCATATACAGGAGTTTGTTCCCAGCAGCACGTTCCTAGCTACAAGAATAAAATGGATGAGTTCAAGGCTAAGGGAATTGATTCTGTTATTTGCGTGTCTGTAAATGACCCATATACTCTCAATGGCTGGGCTGAGAAACTTGAAGCGAAAGATGCTGTAAGCTTCCTTGTCCAGACTTATAATATAGAAAGCTGCATAATTTTCATAATAATACAATCCTGACATTATCCTCTTTGTTCTAAATAGATACAATTTTACGGTGACTTCGACGGGAGCTTTCACAAGAGCCTGGAACTGAATAAAGATCTTTCTGTTGCTTTGCTCGGCCCTCGTTCTCAAAGGTACGATCGATCAATCTTGTTCTCGACATGCCAAAAGTGTTTGGATTGTGTAGGGCTGCTCTAGTTTTAGATGGAGTCCAAGTAGGTAGACAATTCTACACTCTTTGATGTTCTTCTTCTTTGTAGATGGTCAGCTTATGTTGTAGATGGGACGGTTAAGGCTCTTAACATAGAGGAAGCTCCATCTGACTTTAAGGTTACCGGGGCAGAGGTCATTTTGGATCAAATTTAGAGTCAGTTTCATGGAACCAGCACAATCTCTTGGATTCCAAATAAGATCATGCCTGTACATGAGTAATGTATCCCAGAGGCTTTCTTTTTTTGGTTGGTTTTCTTAAGTTAATCCCAGGTGATGATAGCTTGGACGCTTGGATTTCAGTTATTGTTCTTCGTATATAAAATGTTTTTGACTTGGATTTAGAAACTGGCGAATATGGAAATGAGAATTCTCCCTTCCTTAGTTTTCTATCTATTTGCAAATGCCAGACACCTTTAATTCTCCATTCTGAGGTCGGGAGTGATAGCTGTAATTAGGGTTGTATGATGAATCCAACAACCCGTACTAACCTAACCCGAATTATAGGAGTTGGGTTGAGTTAGATTAGTATTGGGTAATTCTTTCAGAACCCGAATAGATTTCGACAAAACTTCACGTTGACCCGAACAGAATAAAATCTTATAAAATGTATTGAGATATGTTACGTATTCCGGCATATCTGCCGGAGTGATTTGGCATTTAGTTTTTGGCGGCACTTAAATCTTCCTTGGACAAGTCAATGTTCACGAGTATGCGGAAGTGCACTTAATGTTCTATATGATATTACTTTTATGAAAATTGAAAAATATATTGTCAACAAATTTTAATATTCATTTAAAGAATATAATTTATTTATTTGAAGTTAACATCATTGAAGAATAGAAAAAAATAAAACTCAAAAGAAATAAAATAATATAATTTAAACCAATCTAAAGTTCAGGCGCTGTACAGCGAGCGTAGATTTCAGTCGGTCCCAGTAGCCATTTAAGAAGCTTCCCGTCCACTCTACCCAGAAGGCCCATCCAACAACTTACAGAGAGCTACAAACTTCCGTCTTAATCTTTATTACCAGCTCCTTGTGCCTTTCCCAGGACCCATTTCGATCCCTGTTCTTCGTCTTCTTGCAACAATGGCGAACACCCATCTCTGTTTTCTTCTCCCTTTGCTTCTTGCTTGCATCCTCCTGTTCAATCGCCCTGTCAAATGCGACGGTAATGCTCTCTTTCTCTCTCGCTCTCTCTAATAGATTCTTTAATTGTTTATTTGAATGTAGATCTTGATTTTTCATGCACTGTCATTTGAGATCTGGGTTCGTGCAATCTTGTGTTGATGCTGCGATTGAGTGTTCTTTGGTGGGTTTTATTTGTTCAAGTTGTGTTTTGAATTCGGCATCCGCCGTTTTAGTAGTTTTCTGTCTCTGTTCACTTCTTCTTGGATTAGATGATACGTATGAGATAAGTAATCTTTTAGATTTGTTCTTCTTATGACCTAATAATGGTAGAGAGATTGACATATATAAGCCTTCATCGGAGATCTGAACAATTGAATTACCTAATCACCATAAACTAAACAGACTGATTAGCTAAATTACAGAACAAACTCTTTACAATGTGAGCTGAAGAGCTGAAATGGTAATGGAAGAGGTTTTCTTTTCTGTTGGAGATCACCTCGGGTTTAGATGGCTTCTTTAGGATTGTTAATCTTGTATACGAAATCAGTAAGGATCCCATGGTTGCCAAGCTATTGATCTGTGTTAGCTTTTCATTTATCCAGTTTAGCATTAGGTTTGGATTGTTGGCAAAACAACCTGCTTCATTGTGTATCCCTGGAACAGCAGGTTCTTTTACATGGGGCTACTCCTAGTATCCTAGCATTATGCTCGTGGCCCATCCCCTTTAGTCTTGAACAAGCTGCCCGTCCCAATTCTAGCTTTAGAGACAGCAAGCTTGCCCATCCCCTTTTGTCTTGAACAAGCTTGCCCATCTAGGTAGTGTGCCAGCAAGGACGCTGGGCCCCAAAGGGGGTGGATTGTGAGATCCCACATCGATTGGAGAGAGGAACGAGTGTCAGTGATAACGTTGGGCGCCGAAGGGGGGTGTACTGTGAGATCCCACATCGTTGGAGAGGGGAACAAAGCATTTTTTATAAGGGTGTGGAAACCTCTCCCTATCAAATGCATTTTAAAAACCTTGAGGGGAAAGTCCGAGAGGGAATACCCAAAGAGGACAATATTTACTAGCGGTGGGCTTGAGCTTGAGCTGTTACATAGTTTTTGTTTTTGAAAATTTTACTTGTTTTCTCATCCTTTATCTATAATAGGTTCATTCTTCGATGAGAAAACATTTGAATTCTAACCCAAATTTAAAAAATAAAACAAATTATTGCTTGATTTTTGAAAATATATGTAAAAAGTAGATAACAAAGCACAGAAACCTTGACTCTATTTTCAAAATTCAAATGGTTGTCCAACATAGCCTTAGTTTTCAGTTTTTGTTATTAGTGCACCCTTGAAGGAAGCTGGTAGTCTATTCATGTTTCTCCTTGCTTAGAACTGTAAAGAGCTCAGCTTGTTCCCATAAAATTACCTGTTGGGTTACTCGACTGCAGAGACCTTACTAGCATTGTTCATGATTTGGTTGCTTTCTTACATAGAATTGTGGGAGTGGCTCTCTCTGGAACTCCATTAACTGCAATAAGTTTAGTTTTCAATTTTCCTTTGGACATATTTTGATGCCATGAAATTCCTACAGATGATGATCTTCATAGAGGCATCAACAGTTATCGTGCATCGTTGAACTTGACAGCGCTGGTCGAGAATGACAATGCAGAGTGCCTTGCTGAAAAAATTGCTGACAAATTCAAGAATCAACCTTGTACAAACACCACAGGCTCCAACACGATATCTGGAACCGAACCTCAGTTCGATGACTATCCAAACCTGCTAGCCAAGTGCAATTTGAATATCTCCAACACAAGGGATGGAACCATAATGCCTGCTTGTGTTCCAAACCGTGTTCCTGATCTTGTTCTCACTAACTTTACGAAATCTCAGTACTCGGGAAAACTTAACGATACCAAGTACACAGGAATCGGCATTGGTACCGAAGATGACTGGGTTGTCATTGTTCTTACCACGAGCACAGCAGATGGAAGTTTTGTGCCAGCATCAAAAAACACAGCCACTCTGGTCTCTAAGATTGGTATGTTCTTTCAGTTGCTGTTCTTGATGCTGTCTTTTGTCTTATTGCTGTAGACCATGAGAGGATTTTCTTGTCTTGTCTTGCTTGGATCAATACTTCAAATCATTTGATCTTTCTTTCTATATTTTATACGTTTGAACTTTATGAAAATAGAAAGAACTTTGGGATCCCCTCATCTCTAACACTTCTTTTAAGGAGAGACAAAATGTTCTAGGGTACTCGAACGGATTAGTTGAAACTCTATAGCCGACCACAATCCCGTGATTTGAGAATTTCGATGGAAAATATTCTATCGCATCTTGGACGCATCTTGCACCTGGTCTCCGAAAAGGGCGATCAATATCCTATCTAATGAACAAAATAAGTAAAGAAGTTGAGTCGAGCCAAACCGATCGAACTTTGAGTTTGGGATGGACTTGACTTCCTAATATGTTTCAATTGAGTTCATCTATGGGATAGTCCAATCTCAAAAACTGAATGAAATAAATGAAAGGGTTGGGTCAAGCCAAGTTGATCAAACTTTGACTTCAAGCTATGTTTGACGAGTCGTTCCAAATATAAGTTGGCTTGTGAGCTAGTTCAATCTCTGAAAAGATTATCCATTATATCCGATGAATGAAAGAGTGAACTAAACTAAGTTGGTCAAACTTCAACTTTTGAGTTGAGTTTCGACCGACCTCTAGTCCATGGGCCCTATACGAGGGTCGGATTGGATCGGATTGGATGATAGAAAAGGTAACTATGGTTGGTATGACTGTGAGGGCACATCCATATATATTCTCACTTCATTGCGAAGAAAACTAAAAAACAATGCTTTAAGATTTCCCTTTGAATGGTCCATTTGAATCCAAAGATGAATGATTTTGATTAGACATTGAATTATAATTGAATCTAAAGTCGAATATTTAAAAAATTCTTATTGTGTTTTACGTTAGACGGCAAAATGGACCGTTTATAGGGCCCTCTAATCCCTTTAACAAGATCCTCACGACCCACCTTTTGAATTTTGGTCTCACACGTCACTATTCAAACAACCAAACCAATTACTAACTCAAAAAAATTACATTTGATTGAATTGGGTTAAGTTTATTATTAACGAGGGTTGGTTGAGTTGTAAAAAATTTACAATCAAAACAATTGAGTTACGCCTAAATGTATCAACCCGACCCGAATGCCCCTAATTTTTTTTTAGCAGTACCATGAAGATAATGTTTTTAAATTTTAAAGCTAAAAAAAAGAAAAAAAAAAGAAAAAGAAAAAAAAGAGAGAAACATACATGTTGGTGCTATTTAATTCTAAAAGTTTTCAAACCCTTCTTTTTTGTGCTTTAGAAAGGTCTATTTTATGTCAACATTCACCATTCATCAAAATATATATACAACAATAATTGTAATATTTTATAACTACAAAATTTTAATTTATTTGATATTAATAAAGTTTTTTTATTTTTATTTTATTTTTTATTTTTAAATTACAAGCTTAGTTGCTAAATTTCTAGATTTGTGTTTATTTGATCCCTGAAATTTTAAAAAAGTATTTAATTAATTCATAAAATTTCATATTTATCTCTGTATAGTTTTAATTTTATTTTTAATATATCACTTAATTTTATATCTAACTAATTAATTAATTTTTTTTAAAGATTAAAAGTAAAATTAAGAATTCAAAAAATTATTAGAAATGTTTTAAATAATTGTTTCTTTTTATTATTATTACGATTAAAATAACACATAGTAATTTTAAACTTAATTATTACGAATTTGATGTGTAACCGTCTAAGTCCACCGAAGCTCACCGCTAGCAAATATTGTCCATTTTGACCCGTTACGTAGCTTTTTCAGCCTCACAGTTTTAAAACGTGTCTACTAGTGAGAGATTTTTACACTAGGAATATTTCGTTCCCCTCTCCAACCAATGTGAGATCTCACGTGATAACTAGAATAAGCTTCGAGGAACAAGACTACTTAACTCTAACGATCTGAGGGTTGCTCAATAGAGTTCATACCCAATGATCAATCATTTGTGAGAGTCAAAGTTCGATATCTTGAAAAAAATAAAAATACCCCATCATAACGAACATCCCCTCATGATGTTCCAATCGTGACAACGACAAAATCCATTATTAGGTTAGCGATTTTCACTATTACTATTCCGTCTCCAAACGACTCGATCTTCTGCACCTGCAATTCTTAAACTAAAAGAAAAACGTGTTCAAATTAGCTTATTCATTAGTATATCATATTTCGATTCAATCATTAGTTTTTATTCTCGAGAGCAAAATATCCAAGTAGTATGGGCAGCGATTATCAAATAAATAAATAAATAACACGTGGAGGTTCGAGTATGGATGGAAACAAATAATTGAAAAGATTTTTTAAAAAATAATAAATTACAAAATTTCAAAAAATAAAACAATCCCTTTTCCCCTAAAGTTTTTTTTTCTCCATTACATCACCAACTTTGTCTTCCACTTTCACATCATCAACATTTTCTCTTTATTTTTATGGGTCCCGACCTCTATCTTTCTCGACCCACGTGTTCATTCTTCATTAACTCAGAAAAAAATCAATAACTCAAAATACCCGAAAAAATCGTACCACCATCGCTCATATCTCGACATATAATCAATATATGAAAATAACATACAGTACAAGAGATTTGTAAGATGTCACGATCTTCATTTAATCATTTTATTCCGCTACATCGGTCGGGAATAAATACAAGAAGAAGAAAAAAAAACATCAATTTTTCAGCTTATTCCGCTACTTCTGTTATCAACAAGTTCTCGATGAATAATTACAAAAAAGAAAAAAAAGTCTTCCAGTCGTATCTTTAGTGATCTCGAGAAGGATGAGGGGTATCGAGTAATATATTAAAAAAACGATAAATTTTTGGAATTTTCTCTAAAACCCAATATTTGTTTTTTATTATTTATTTATTTATTATTAAAAAAAAAAAAAAAAAAGGGAGTTGGCTGGCAGATATGCATCACCCTATCTCTTACAAATGTGAATGAATGGATGCCCTAATTCCACGATTTAAACCTTCCTTCTAATTTTCTCTACCATTTACCTATTTTTTAATTATAAAAAAAATCATTATCTTTAAGATATTTTTTTTTAATAAAAAATATATTTTTAAATTATTGGTCGACCCAGATTAATACAATGTCGGAGTAAACGTATTATCCAACATGAAACAATTGTGTAAGATTAGAGATGACGGTTATTGAACGAGTTAAACAAAATCTGGGTTCGCAAAATAATCAAGAAAGTTCGTATGAGTACAACACACACAAGCATCACCCGACTCAGGTGGACCAGAACACGTCTTTTGGACCTTATTCACTGGCCTTATGATATGAACCAAGAGACATCAATCATACAATATGTTCTAATAAAGATGTGAAGAAAATATTGTTGAAATTATTAGAAGATATTTCAATTCATGTCACGCTCAAGAAGAATGAAGTTTCATGTTATAAATTTTGGGTGGATTAAATTTAGAGTTTATTTTATTTTAAAATTTTATATTTAGTTTAGGTTATAATTACATAATGGTTAATTATGACCATTAAGTAGGAATGTTACCTCCGTTGAAATGCTTTTAATAGTTTCAGTTTCATTTATGTATGTTATATTTGTAAGTAGACTTGGAAATTATAGTAAAAAAAGCATTTGTGCAGTTTCTTTGCATCTATGTAGTTTAGGTTGCATGAAAAATCATTCAAGTTCGACATGATCAATCTTGCTTGTAGAGTGATTCAAATCTCAAACAATGTTCTTGTCTTGAGATATTTGATCAACAAGAATCATTCAAGCTAAACAAGATCGATCTGGCTTGTAGAGTGATTCGAATCTCAAACAATGTTCTTGCCTTGAGATATTCGATCAACAAGGTAATCCGAATCTTACTCCCCTTGTAGTGATTCCCCTATATCACCTTATAAGAGCTCCAGCCTAGTCTCGGAATTCTTAAAGGATCCAATTTGACCCAAAAATAAGAATCTTGAATGCACGTTGAGGTTAAGAAATTCATAGACCAAGATTTTTTTTATTTTTTATTTTAGTAATACGTACCGTGAACTACGAGTAATCAAACATTTAACTTCATGGATTATAATTTTAATTAATTTATTGTAGTAATTTTTTATATATATTTATTATTATTTCATATATTTGACGAAATTGGAATTAAATTTTGTCTTTTTATTTTTTATTTGTTTTAAGGTACTGTTTGAATCTTTGTATTTATCTTCAAAATTACAAAAGAAGAATGAATTTTGATTTGACATTAGATCTCCTTTCATCTCAATAGTCAATACCTTATGTGAGGTTGACTTTTTTTTTAAAAAATAAAAATAAATACGTGGAAAATTATAATTTTCTTATTTTAAATTAAATAAAAACAAAATTACATTTACAACAAAAATATAAATTTAGGGCCTTTTTCATACTTAAAAATAAAAATAAAAAATCACGAACTATATAATATGTAAATTATAGCCAATTCGAGCGTAAATCAATAAATAAAATATTAATTTATTATATCGAAAAATTTGAAACAAAAAATATGTTATTATAATATTGCCACTTGTAGAAAAAAAATAGGTCTAAATTTCCTTTTCATTATCTACTCATTCTCTGAAAATAGACAAAAAGAAAAACATCACAATAAATTATATATAAAGTATTTTACATAATTATTATTAAATAAATAAGAAATAATATTGTTATTATTTTGAATTAATTTAAAAAACAAACCATAGAAATTAGTGTTATTTTTGTTGATGATAATAATTTTTTTTTTCGATGAGGGCAAATTCGTAAAAATTAATTTAATATAATTATTAATCGTTATAAATTTTTTAAAAAATGATTTAAAAAGATAATAGATATTTTATTCACATAACTGTGTCGATATTAAAAGACATAAAAGCAATTAAATTTTCTCCACGTTTAGTTTTCCATGGTCGTTTCCGGTCTCCATTTCATCGCCGACCTCCATATCGCCGCCGTCAGCCTCTTCACTTTCCTCTGTTTTCGCAAAACAGAGCCTCAGCCGCCCGCTGCTTCTCTCCGCCAGAAAACACGGCGCCCTCGACGGACTTTTCACCGCCGCAATTATCAGCCTCCCCTCTTCCCGGTGGGGTGTCACCCTAAACGACTCTGTTTCTCTAATGGTCGTCAACGGCGGTGGAAGCCGATGAGAACCTGAATGCAAATTCGAATTGAAATGGGGTTTCTTTTCCCATTTCCGGTGAAAATCCTCGCCGTCAATCTCCGGCGAGAAAATAGTGTTCTCGATTATATCGCTGCCGGTTTCATTGCCCAAATTTTCAGTACAGAGGTTTAAGCTCTTCTCGCTCAAGCCGGTCGGGTTGAAGCGTTTGGTCAGGGGATGAACATAGACCGATTCTTGTTTACTCGCCGGTGGGGCGAGCGATTGGAGTAGAGACCATCCGCCATCGACGGCGCCGGCGCCGGGGCCGGGGCCGGAATTGGGAATTCCGGCGGGGGGAGAAGGATTTAGAATGTGGGTTTGATCGGAATCGATTAAGGAAATAGAAGGGTGTTTTAAAGGGAGCTCAAAAGGGGGGAAAATGAAGGTTCTTTGGTCGGAAAGATGAGGGTCGAGGCATGATTGTAAGCCTCTGCAGACCATGGTCGCCATTAAAATGAAGCTCTGTTTGAAACAGAGGAGGAGAGAGAAAGGGGGGACTAGAGAGAGAAGGGTGTGGAGGAAGAGTGTAGGGGAAGGGGGGAATTTGTAGGGCTTCAAAAAGTGAGAGAGGAGGAAGAGAAGACAAGGGGGGTGGGTTTTTTGGTGCTTCTTTTTGCCACCACTTGAATTTCGTGACATTTTTGTTTTTGGAAAATAAAAATAATAAAACAAAAATAATGGAGAGTTTATCCCAATGGAAAAATATCCGACCTACAACATTTTTCTTCGTGGTCGGTATCGTTTAGTAGATAATTGTGACACCCGAGGGTGAGGAACAACGTCGGAGAATGAGACGAGGAGCTGTAATTGGTCGGTATAGTTTAGTACATAAGTGTGACACTCGAGGGAAAGGAATAAGGTCGGAGAATAGGATGAGGAGCTGTAATTAGTCGGTATAGTTTAGTAGATAAGTGTGACACTTGAGGGCGAGGAACAAGGTCGTGTAACAACTAAAACCCATTGCTAGTAGATATTGTCCTGTTTGAACTTGAACTTTCTCACAAAGGGTTTAAAATGTGTCTGTTAAGGAGAGATTTCCACACCCTTTTAAGGAATGTTTCGTTCCCCACCAGAAAAAATTAACATCTTTAATTAAATTTAAGAGCTTAATTATAAATATTTTGATGAATGAATAGGTGAGGATTAGTATCGGTTTTTTCTATGAGGTCATGCTTCACTGTTACTTTGTCAGTTCTCTCGTGATTTTACTAGCTTAATTAGGAAACAAGTCATTCAACATTTGTCGTTCATACCATAAGAAAAACGGTTATTTCTTTATTGGTTTGTTACATTTTTTTTTTTTTGTCTGAGTTTGCTCATGTGTGAACACGAGGTCATGCTTCACTGTTACTTCGTCGATTCTCTCCCGGTTTTGCTAGCTTTGTTAGGAAACAAGTTTCTCGACTCGCTTGTCATTCATGGAGAAATCGTGAGGAAAACGGGTTTTTTGTTTGAGTTTGTTCTTGTGTGAAGATAAAATCATGCTTCGGTGTTACTTCGTCAGTTATCTCCCGATTTCGCTAGCTTTGTTAGGAAAGAAGGCATTCCACCCATTTGTCATTCATGGAAAAATCGTGATTTTATTTATTTATTGCAATTTTATGCTCCATCGTTCTTCACCGATTCTCTCATTTTAATTTTTATAAATGTTAAATTACAATTTTTGTGATGTCCCACGTTGGTTCGGGAGGAAAACAAAACACCCTTACGGGTGTGGAAACCTTCCTATAACAGATGTGTTTTAAAGCCTTGAGGAAAGCCCAAAAAGAAAACAATATCTGCAGTAAATCTAGGTCGTTACAATTTTAATCGGAAGAAAATTAAAATTTTAAAAACAAAGTTAGGAAAATAATTAAAATAATAATAAAGGATTATGCGTCATGTTCCTCTAGCAAATTTAATAAAAGGTTTATAAAGTTTAAACTTTGGAATAAATTTTTTTATTTTTTTTTACTTTGTTTTCCTCGGGATCTCGCAATCCATTCTTTTAGGACCAACGTTTTTACTGACACACCGCTCGGTCTCTGATTTTGATACCATTTATAGTACAGAAAGTCCAATGCCCTCGCTGACACATCGTCCAGTGCCTAGCTCTTATGCCATTTGTATTAGAGAGGTTCCAACGTTCTCGCTGGCACGCCAACTTACCATTTGCAATAGAGAGAGACCAGTGTCTTTGTTGGCATACTGCTCGAAGTTTGGTTCTGATACCATTTATAACATAGGGGTCCCAACGTACTAGTGCGGGCCTAAAATACTTAAAATTTATGGGCCGAATTTAAAAGGCCCATAAGTTATTAAAGAAAGGCCCAAAACAATAAGCAAGCGCTGGCCTGACTTGGCGGCCCACTTTAACATCCGCAAATCACGAATTGGCATATTATGATTTGTGGGGCCCACCTGTCACGATGGGATTGGATTTCATAAAAACGACCTTTCATCAACCTAATTTAATATATATATATATATATATATATACACACATATACATACACACATATATATATATCTACATATATATTCAGGTACGTACAAGAATTTAGAAAGGAATTCCAATCATTCTTGTTATACGCTTGTTCAGGAGCTGATCTTTCATTCCTTTCGGTTCAGGAGAAGTTGATAGTTAGAGAGGTTCCGGAGCTTAACCTTCTACCAGACTATGTTCAAGGTAATAGAGGTGAATGAAGGAGCGAGCGAAGCAACTCGACCGAGAGGGAGAGGAGAGGAGCGAAGCTATATATATATATAGAGGGCTGAGAATGATGGATTGTGAGATCCTATATTAGTTGGAGAAGTGAACGAAGTATAATACAAGGGTGTGAAAACCTCTTTTTAGTAGATGCGTTTTAAAACTCTACTCTTTATTCCTTTCTTCTTCTTCTTCTTCTTCCTCTGTGAGATTGACGACGACATGTAACGGGTAAAAATAAATAATATTTTGCTAGCGGTGAGCTTAGGTTGTTATAAACAGTTCCAGAGCCAGACACGAGCAGTGTGTCAACAAGGACATGATGGGTCAAAGTGGATATATCTACTAGTAGTATATGTGAAATTTAGTAGTTACTCTCAAGATTTGAATCGGTATTTGGAATCCATATTTGGGACGTGATGGCTCGGAAGGATTGGGATTTGGAATCCGGTAACGACCTACACCTAAAATGGTGCACAGTGTTGATATACGACGTAACCTTCAAATATTTGAAGTTTTTCTTAGTCATTTTATCATTAGGGTCGATCTTATTAAGATGTGACATTGGTTCATGAACGCTTGTCTTAATCTATTTAATACATTCATTACGTTATAAAGTTTGAACTGAACTTAGATTTGGATAAGGTCAACAGAATTTTTAAATTTAGGTGTTTTATTTAGTTTTACTTGTAAAAGTATTGGTATATGCCAAACTTGGGTGGAGTTAGGTTGGGGCTTGGGCGGTCTAGGGGCACGGACCCATTTAGGGCGATGGGAGTGCGACCATTTCAAAGCGACCTTCTCGCCATAACCACAGGCCCAGGCAAATCTGTTTCCTCACAGGGGAGAGAGAGCGATGACGATGGAGATACCAGGGCGCATTGTCGCTGTTCTTCTCCTTATGCTGCTTCTCCTCCTCCTCCTCCTATTCATCCTCCTCGTTGCCTGCAAACCATGGCGCTTCTTTTCCTATTCCCTTTCTCGCACCATCAAGGTTTTCTTTTTCTTGTCATCTTTTCGTTTTTCTATGTTTCTGCTGTTCCTTTTCCCCTCGCATTATTCGTTTTCTGGCGCCGATTGATTGCGGATAGTTTGTACAATCATATAAATTCGCGATCAAGCTGTTGGGGGTTGGTTGGATGCTTCTCGTTCATCTGTTTTTGGCTCGATCAGTTCACTTCTTATGATGGGGGTGAATCTTAAATTGATGGGTGTTGGTAGTTTTGCTTGAAGTTGGCGTTGGTTTTCTGTTTGAGCGGTGATCTTTATATGGAAATGTTGGAGCGAACAACTGGAATCCATTATGTGAAACAATTTATGATTCTTATGTTGTGTAACTAATGGCTTTATGTTTACAGCTTCCCTTAACGAGCTTCTTTCTTCGCTTCCTAATAGCTGGATTAAGCTCTTACGAGATTCGGCTCTGTAAAATATGACTTTTTAACTTTAGTTATCATTCACCAGCCTGTCTGCATGATATAATTGATTACCGATAACATTTTTTGATTGACTTGATTTCTCCTTTGTTTGACATTAATCTGGTGTGATTTAGATTCCACTTCACTTTTTTTTAAAGAAATTGATGAAATATGTTAGTTTCTATTATATTGATTAAAATCCTTTGTTATGTGATTATTTTATTCTATTTTTTCATGTAGAATGCCCTGTGATCTCTTTATCTCCTTAAAGGAAACATTGATAAAAGGAATGTCCTGTGATCATGGTTGGTAGAATCATATATTTGTAGTTTTATGATATATATGACGCCACCGTCTTCTTAAGTATCTTTACATATCGCTACCTCCCATGTTTTCTTTCAGGTTCATGACCTTGAGAGACCCCTTGTCTCTGATGCTGCGGTTGTCACTCAAAACCAAATCAATGAACTTCCGAGAGATTATGATTTGGAGGGCGCACTTCAAACTGATGGGCATTTTCGGTCCCCAAGTTTACACGGATTGATCCACAAGCAAAGACTACCTGCTGCGTCTCCCCATTTATGTCAGGGTATTTGCTTCTGTTTTGTCAATGTTTCTTAAGCACCTTTCTCATTGTATAAGGTTAATTAATGCTCAATTTTTCATGGGTTATTTATTCATTTCTCTCAGGTGATAGATTGGTTCCAGATGTAGTTGCTGATCCTTTAGACGATATTTCTGTTGGTCAAACACTTAAACGTTCATATTTCACAAGCCAGATTCCAGAAGTTCGAAAGCATGCGAAACCAAGCATAGGAAGTGATCAACCCCACGAGTCTGCAAGTCAAGTTATCTCACATGGAAGTAATTTATCATCTCATTCATTTATTCCGTGAGGCTATTATCAAATGTAATGTATGCGAGTACGTAAAACATACCTTCATATCTTTCTGTTAGAAGTGCAGGAAGTTACCTCACTTTGGAGGTTACCTCCGGTCCTTCTCGTGGAGTGCGCTATTCCATACATTCTGCGGACACATCTAGGCTCCAGTTGACCCTTGGAAGAGCACCTCCTAGTGATATACAGCTAAAGGATTCAGAAGTTTCAGGGAAGCATGCCTCAATAAAATGGAATCTAAATGTAATTATTCATATAGGGGTTCATCACCTAATTACAATCTACATTTAAGTTTGTTCTGCTTATTACTAAATCTATTAATTTGTCTGCAGAGTATGAAATGGGAGCTTGTGGACCTGGGTAGCTTAAATGGGACCTTATTAAATTCTCAACCAATCAGCAATCCCGATTCTGGAATTAGACAGTTGAGTGACCCAGTTGAGCTTGCTAGTGGAGATGTTATAACTCTTGGTACAAGCTCCACTGTGTATGTAAGTTGACTTGCCCCTGTTTGTGTTACTTAATGTGTTAATTTTCTTTTATAGTAGGAACTATCATGGTTTGACATAGTAGTAGAAGCGGAAAACTGTAAGGGCATTTTTGAGGTCATGGGTTCGAACTGTGGAACTGCTTATTAAGAGATTTAAAATCTTGCAAGTTCATCAACACCAATTGTTTTCTAGTGTAGTTGTTACATAACATTAGTTGAGTTGCACATAGTGGAACACAATCCAGGTTATAGAAGGAAAATTCCATTATGGTAGTATTTATCCTCGAGTATGAAATGGTTGATTATTTCTGGAAATGATCTTATCTGTTTCTACCACAACTCTGAAGAGATTAATATGCTTTCATCGATCATATGAAGTTCCTTTCCAGGAACTTCTACACTATGATATATTATGATTACATCATTACTAAGAAAGGCATCTCTCTACAGCATTTCCTCTAGCAGACTACATATGTTAAATTTGCTTCAGTGTTTCTGTATGCATTGGGTTTCTCTCTTGCAAGATTTTAATGACTTGGTGCTTTCCAAGAACAATGTTTTCAGCTCACGAGCTATTTCTTGTAGGTGTTTAACGATACTTCTAGGAATTGTATCGAGATTTGGACATCTTAGACTTAATAGTAGCCTACCTTTATAGCTCTCTCTAATTATATGATTTTTATTATTATTTTGTTTTTGTAATGGTAATTCTTCCTTGATTAATCCCAACTGAGGGGACTTTTTGTAATTTCCTTGGCTTGCCTTTTTGATTCCTTAAATTGATTTCATTGCTTTTGAGTTGTGAGGAGATTTAATTCCGACCTTTTAACCTTGATTTACTTGAAACATAAAATTATCATTTTTATGTTTGTGTGGATATTCAGAAGTGATCTTTCTGTAACTTAAAAAGCCATTCCATTTTTTCTGAAAGTTACAGTAAGGTTCGGGATTAGAGTTTTTTTTTATTAAGAACCTGGGTTTATATTTATATATATATTTCATATTTTCCCTCTTTGGCAGGTTCAAATTACATCTGAGATTGAGAGCCATATTCCTTTTGGAGTTGGGATGGCTTCAGATCCAATGGCGTTACGTCGAGGTGGAAAGAAATTTGCCATGGAAGATGTTTGCTATTATCAATGGCCTCTTCCTGGGGTTGATCAGGTTTTGGTGCTGGCAATTTGTGTATTTTTCTTTTTGTTAATAACATCATGCATGCCAAAACAGCTTACTTTGCATGGATATTTATCTTGCAGTTTGGACTCTTTGGTATCTGCGATGGACATAGTGGAGTAGGGGCTGCCAAATCTGCTAGCGAGTTAGTATCTGTTTTTAACTTCATTGTTTCTGCTTATAATTATTACTTTCCGAATGAACCTAAAAGAAATGTGAAGATATTTGGCATTTATATACCACAAAAACGTGCAGAAACTTCAGTATGACGTTTGTAATGTATTTGATAGAAAGCATGATGAACCATTTTTAAATTGTTCTCAGACTGGTTATGCCTAGGGTGCATTGTATGGAGATATAAAATTGACGAGTCACCGAAGTATATGTATCTGTTAAAGTTTTCTGGAAATTGAGTTTGTTTGACAGTATGTCGACATTTGCAATTTGAGCTTCTGTCTTGTTTGACTTTGACACGAGAATAACCGCATTCAATTATTTGAAGATCGTTGTAGTTTCCTGTACTAATTGTGTGGTGGGCTTGTACTTGCTACTGTACTAATCGTCAAATATGTTGACTTCTAGGATTCTTCCGGAGAAGGTCGCCACAATTCTATCTGATCCACTAAAGAGGGAGAGGGTAGTATCTCTTTGTGATGCTTCAGATGTTCTTAGAGAAGCATTTTCTCAGACTGAAGCTTGCATGAATCACTATTATGAGGTTTTTTCACTTTCTCTTCATGAATTTTATCAACAGAAGCATGATGCAGGGTCCATAGACACTACAGCAATGCCATTTTTATTTGCACAAAGGGGTTATTTTATTTTATTTGAACTTCTTTAGGATAGTTGCTGGCAATAATTGTTTTAAAATGTTAATAGCTCTAACCAATATCTTTCCAGGGTTGTACTGCCACGGTGCTTTTGGTATGGGCTGATAATGACGATAATTACTTCGTGCAGTGTGCGAATGTCGGGGACTCTGCTTGTGTTATGAAGTATGTGTTTATAGGTTCTCCCTCCCTCTTATTTTTAATCATTTCTAAATTACTCTTGATCAATAAAAATTGAAAAGAAAAAAGGTTTTACTGACCTGTTGCTATCTTTTTAATTTCAGTGTTCATGGGAAGCTTTTAAGGATGACAGAAGACCACAGGATAACTAGCTATTCAGAAAGACTCCGACTAGAACAAGCAGGAGAACCATTGAAAGATGGGGAGACACGTTTGTGTGGTAATGAAAAATCTGTCTTCACATTATTAGCAAATAGCTACTTTTGGATGTTGGTCATGTTGCTTTACACATTGCCTCCCTGGCTCAGGCTTGAACCTTGCAAGGATGCTTGGTGATAAGTTTCTTAAACAACAAGACCATCGCTTCAGTTCAGAACCTTATATTAGCGAAGTTGTCCATGTAGATCAAGGAAGCAAAGCTTTTGCGGTGATGGCAAGGTGATTTTACTTAAATATCAACCTGAGTATACATCAACTGGTTAAGATACGTCACTACGACTACCAAAAGGTCAAAAGTTCAAACACCCCACCCCACCCCACTCCCACACGTTAGAGAACTGAACGAATAACATGCTAGCTTTTATATATTTAAAACGACACTATTACCTTGACTAAAAGGTCAGATGTTTGAACTCCCTGCCTCACATATTAGAATTGAACGAATAACATGGTAGCTTTGTTTGAAATTTAACTTGGGATTCTGCTAAAATCACAGTGATGGCTTTTGGGATGTGATTGGTGTGAAGAAGGCAATTCAGCTGGTCCTTCAGGTGCCATTTCTTTGTACTGCTGTTTAATATTGACCTCCATTTTTGATATCTGTTTCAACTGAAGTGATTGTGAATTGCTGCTGCTGCTGCTGCTGCACAGGCTAGGGAAAGATACTCCACAGGTGCAGAAAAGTCGGCCGAAAAGATGGCCAATTTTTTGTTGGGCGAGGCTAGAACACTGCGTACAAAAGATAACACTTCTATTATTTTCTTAGATTTTGACGTTCCTCATAGAATCACTTGTAAAGTTGAACCATGATAAATAATTATGTATTACAAATGTTGTAGCAGTGGCCTTAGCAATTGTAATATTTGTATAATTTTCTGAACTTTATTCTTTTGGGCATTACCAAACCCTTATATATAAAGAAGCCAAATGGGATTACGCGTTGGCAAATTATTCACATCTTACATTGTGTGCAATCTCTTTACCGATCACTGACTTGTCATTTCGTTTAGAGAAAGGTGTCACATTTTCAGGATACTGAGCTCACCAAGGAGTTCCATGGCAGAGGTGGAGCTGGCCCTTAAGGCGATGCCACCCGACCAAAGCGTTATGGCTGGATGGAGTGCATACTTTGTTCTATCAGAAATATGACGTTCTATAGATGGAGACAATGTGTAACAACCCAAGTTCACTGTTAGCAGATTGTCATTTTTAGGGTTTCCTTTTCGGGCTTTCTCTCAAGGTTTTAAAACGCGTTTGCTAGGGAAAGGTTTATACACTCTAATGCTTCATTTTCCTCTCCAACCCATGTGACAATCCATCCTTCTTACCTTAGGAGGAAAGGTAAAGACGGGTGGAGTAGCGTTGAAAATAGATACCAACAAAGCCTATGATCGAGTGGAATGAGGTTATCTTCATGTCACGAGGAATAAGATCTATCTAAAGATGGATTTTGCTAGTCTGAATTGTATGGAATTGATCTAGTTTTTAGTGCTCATCAAAGGAGTTCCCAATTTTAAACGCTTGAGAGGGATTAGATAAGGAAATTCCCTCTTTCTTTATCTTCACCTGATGCATACAAAAGGTCTTTCGACTCGAACACACAACAAGAATAAGATGTTGTAAGTGTAAAAGAGCGTCAAGAATTATAAGGAGAACTTGTTTTTCGAGACTCGGGATAGATAAGTCCTGAGAGTATTAATGAAAAATTTGGAAAAAAAATGATACTAAATAAAAAAATTTATATTGGGTGATGGAAGGTGAAGGGCATTATGGACATTTCAAATCGAGCTCTGGGGAAGTAGCTGAGGCTCTGCCGGCAGCAAGCACACGCACAAGAATCACAGAAGAGAACGGACCAAAAAAAAAAAAGAAAAAACAAACTAATTTTCTCTCTTTTTTCATTCAATTTTAATTCGTTAAATATAAATACCCCGTCTTCATCCTCTCCCGCCATGAACATGGCTCATATCGACACCGACCTCGCTTCCCTCGACCACCTTCACTCCACCAAGTCCCTCATTTCTGCTCTCAATTTCCTCTCCCGGAACCTCCCGCTTCCTCCCGACCTCTTTCAAGCTGTTTCTTCTATTTATTCCGCTCCTCACCATGAACAAACCGGTGCTCGGATTTATTCGGTATTCATTCTCGATTCTCTGTTTATGTGTTTTTGGTTTTCGATGTTGTCGGTTGTGGAATTCTCCGGCTCTTGCTTTAGGGTTTTGTCTGGTTTGTTCCTTTTTTTTGCTTGGTGATTTTGGTGAATTCGGTTTTTTTCAATTATGCTTGCGTTTGCTGCTGTAATTGTGCCCTTCTCGTTTACTTACCGATTTCTTTTGTGGAATTTTGACGTGTTAACTCATGTCTAGAGTGCAGTTGGTTATGTGTAATGGATTAATAGATGTAGGGTAGCCAATTGTGAAGGTTTAGAAATGTTAAACATATTGTACATGTAACTTGAGATATTAACTTATGTCTAGACTCTAGTTAGTTTGTGTAATGGTTTAACTGTTGCAAGATGGTAATTGTGAAGATATGGATTTTCTTTTTCTTTTGTGAATGTTTAAACAGATCTTGGTTGAGCCAATGTTACAAGTTTATAGGAAGGTGACAATTTAGGGTATTCTAGAAGTAGTTGAGGAAATAATTTATTTTGTGTACAATCAATATTGTGTTGTTTTTCTGATTGTTACTATGCCTATTAACATTTTGAATGCTGTATTGATGTTCCTGGTACAGGATGAGCTTGTAGATTCTGTTCAAGAGGATATATTGACTGACCTTAGAGATGCTTTGGCAAAGCAGCGTTCAAGTTGCATAACTGGTTCTGGGTTGGAACGTTCAAGAGAAGAGCGTTATCGAGGTTGCATACAACACCGGTTGAATGATCTAGAAGGTGATTGATACAATTTGAGTTATTGAACTTTCCTTCTCATCATGCTCTGTCGGCCATTGCTCCTTAGTGCCAAACTCAGAAAATAACAGTGTTAATTATAATAACGTGTGAACAGAAGCACTACATTTATGTGTTGTGCTGCATTAGCGGTTATGACTTATTGCTCTATTACTTGCTTGGAGCTGTTGGTTAACGGTCCGTTCAATGACTCTTTATTTGTTACTTGTTTATGTACTAATCTTGATCCAGAGTTGCCTTCAAGTAGAGGGGAGAACATACAAACAAAGTGCTTACTTGAACTATATGGGTTAAAGGTAATCTTGCTGTTGAAATTATTTTTCACGTCTTGGTTTGATTGTGTATACTTTCCTCCTCCTAGAAAAGCTTTACGTAGTGTTTATTTTAATGATTTTTTGTTAACAATTGTCCAAATTTGGCTTAAATATTAAAACCTACAGTCAACATATTGGTTATGATCTTGCATAGCTTGAGTATGGACATTTTGTTGATGATGATAAATCGGTATGCCTGTACACAATTTCTTCCGGTATTGATCGATGCAGTCATTTCATGGCAGTTACTAGATTTGCAAAGAAAGGTACGATCTCATGTAAGTTCAGAGTACTGGCTTCGAGCAACTTGTGCACATCCAGACAAACAATTATTTGATTGGGGCATGATGCGATTGCACCGTCCACCATATGGCATAGGAGATGCTTTTGCCATGGAAGCTGATGATCAATTGTGGAGGAAGCGGGATGCTGAGGTTATTTTCCTTTGACAATCATTTATGTTTTTCTTTCACGTTCCTCTGAATATTTGACTCTGTGCACCATGGGTGATATACATATAGACTGTTACTTTAAAGTTAATCTAGGGGTTCGTTTTTGGCTATTAAAAGCTGACTAAAAATGCATATGCAACATTTGGCTGGAAAGGAATCATACACTTTCTGTCATAATTTTTATCTTAGGGGTGTGAAACTTAGGACTATTCAGTACAGGGCTTCTTTAAGTAATGCCAACTTGAGTAATTTTTGTGATCCCCTAGGTATATTTGGAGCCTTGGGTTGATGCCTTTTTCTATCGCCCTTGCATATATTTGTTCTTATGAAATACCACTTTCTGTCCAAAAAAAAAAAAAAAAAAAATGCATATCCAACAAATGCTCATGCAAACTTGGAGAATCATGAGAAAGTGTTAGCTCAAGAAACAATTAGAAAAAATATATAATTTTGTGTACAAAAAAGGAAAAGACATATTATCTCCAATGCAATTGCTTGTTGTAATGATATAGAAGAAACTTGTTTTTGCAGAGGACATCAAGGTTAGAAGAGGAGGAGAAGAGCCAAATCGAGACCAGGAAAAGAAAGTTTTTTGCTGAGATACTGAATGCTGTTCGTGAATTCCATTTACAAATTCAAGCTTCTATAAAACGTCGGAAACAGAGAAATGACGGAGTTCAGGTATTGCCTCTTTAAATTCTGTCCGTTTCTTAAATTTGATTTTGCAAAGAGGAGATTCTTTTACTAGGAACTATTCTTCTAATATACAATTCACCCCAGGTGCATTTTACTTATGTTAGGAGGGAGGGGTTAATTATGGTTGGCTCTTGGCTGGTAGATAGGGGTTAGGACAATGAACTGCGCTTGTTGGGTAGACATGATGAGTGGATGTTATTGGTATTTCTAGGAGTGAACATAAATTATTCATGATTTAGAAAAGTTTCTGGGATGACAGCAGTCTTTCAATTACCTTGCACCTTGAAAAATGATCCATCACATGATATTATGACAGGCATGGCATGGAAGACAAAGGCAACGTGCTACAAGGGCAGAAAAATTGAGGTTCCAAGCACTAAAGGCAGATGATCAAGAAGCTTACATGAGATTGGTTAAGGAGAGCAAGAATGAACGATTAACAACACTTCTTGAAGAAACAAACAAACTACTTGTTAACTTGGGTGCTGCAGTTCAAAGACAGAAAGATTCTAAACTCTCTGATGGCATTGAAGCCTTGGATGAATCTGATGTTGATTTAACTGATTTGGATTCTTCAAAGAATGCAACCCCTCAAGATTTACTCATGGATGAAGATTTAGATGCCATTGATTCTGACCGCAATGATGAAAGTGGTGATTTGCTTGAAGGGCAGCGACAATATAACTCTGCAATTCATTCAATTCAGGAAAAGGTACCCAAGAAATTCATATGTATTGTATTGCTTTTATCTTGTATGGTGGATCCATTTTTCTGATCCATAATCTTCATGTTACACTACGTGAAATTCAGGACTTAATGAACGTTTGAAATCCTATTAAGTTCATTTTCTGAATGTATACTTCAGTTTAAGTGAAAGTAAATTCTGATAGTTTATAAGATATTGCTAACTTGCCCATCCGAGCATAGCTCAGTAGACGACATCAATTACCATCCCAAAAGTTGATCTTCCACCCCGTAGTCGTTGAACTCGAACTTAAAAAAAATATATACTTTCCTCTTTGTTCTATATTTTCTTGTACTCTTTTACATTTTCATCTGTTTGATTGCTGGTGCATTATTTCAAATTAATTCAATCTCTCTTTTCTAATGCATATTTCCAAAGAGTTTTAGAAGTACTTAGAATCAAATTACTATAATTCTACAGGTAACTGAGCTGTTAGAAGTTTCTATGAATTGGGAAGTCTGACCAATAATTCAATTCTACAGGTGACTGAGCAGCCTTCCATGCTACAAGGAGGAGAGTTGAGGCCCTATCAAATAGAAGGACTTCAGTGGATGGTTTCGTTATTCAATAACAATCTGAATGGAATATTGGCTGATGAAATGGGACTGGGAAAAACAATACAAACAATCTCATTGATAGCGTACCTCATGGAATATAAGGATGTGACTGGACCTCATCTAATAGTTGCTCCCAAGGCAGTACTGCCAAACTGGATTCATGAATTCACAACATGGGCCCCGAGGTTCGGAATAACTTTTTCCCTCATCTCTCTAGCACATTCTTTTCGTTCACTTTGGAATCATTCTCGTTTTTGTTTCATATCCAGTATTGTTGCTGTTCTT